AATGGCTAGCTCACTAACTAGGAAGCAATTTGGTAGATCAAGTAATACACCCTTAGCTGAGTGACTGCTGTGAATCCTAATATGATACTAAATGACACTCCAGGTTGAAATTGATTTTCGTTACAAGCTGGTGATTTCAGGATATTTGAACTGTATCCCATGATGTGTCTGGCAATTAGTGCCAGGTTGACAGCTGTGCTTTACCAATGAAAATATAATGATAATATCTTTATTGAGTGATTTCATTGGATGATTTGTAACACCTTGCTCAATTCTCCTAATCTAATTTTCATCTACCCTCTGATAATAATAATGCAATCTCTCAAGATAACGTACATCGTTAGGGACATTTCCATTTGACTGAAAACAACCACATGACATGCATAAAACTTGACCAAATCACAAGATAACCCCAATCAGATTGTTAAATACTATTAAATTCATTGGTTTGATTCTGAAAGAAAGATGACATGGATGGTGAGCACCATCATCCACTACCTTTTGCCTTATCCGTCCTGAGGTAACTATAAGCTAATTGGCTACTTTCTCCCAATCTGTCTGATCTGGACAATAACAAAAATAATTCCAGATTTATTTTGAGACCATAAAAATGATGGGTTAGTGTTTTTTTTTGGTACCAAAACTACAAGGGGCAGATTTAGAATGTACGAAGCGTTTGATATGAGTTATTGCCCTTGTTCTTTAAAGTAGATTGTAAGCACTCCAGATAGCACAATTATTGACAGATTTTGATGAAACTTATTGAAATTGTTTTTTCATCAAATCAGCATGAAACATATTGAAAATTGAAAGAAATGACAAAATATTTAATATGAATTAGTGAACCTGTTGAAAACACATTTGATTTCGAACTCGAAAATATTATAGAAGGCTTAATATTTTATTGATTTGGATGAATTTGGTGAAATTGTTTTTAATTCAGAAAGGTTAAACCCAATGGAAAATCCCAGAAATTGACAAATCATGAATTGATGCCATTGTTTTTAGACTCAATTTTTAGTTTGTCAGCACTGGTGCAATTTACATTTAGTTGACAAATTGTTAAAAATGAACTATAGAAACCTTTCTGATTACTGATAATAAATAAGTTAAAAGGAATGTTTTTTTTCTATTTTTGGAGGTCAATTGTGCTTTAATCTTAGAAACTGGAATTGTTGAGCTAAGCTAATCAGTTATTATATTCACAGCTATTGAGCCTTTAAGCCATGTGTATCCGCAATTATCCATGTTTGAAAGTTAAAATGACGACTGTCTCATTTTAAAGAACGGTTTATAGCACAGTAGCCTCGATCTTCCAGTCTCATTTCGTCTACGCACAACTGTGACGAAAGACGTCTGGATGTATATTAACAAGATTAACATCAGATAACGTAATTTTTCAGAGAGAAGATAAGCTTGTAAACGAAACAAATAAAAAGAGAAATTTCTTGTTTTGAGGTTTATTTGACAGAATTATGCGATTTTTGTACAGTTCTAGTATTTCTGAAAATATTTACATACATTCAAGACACAAATCAACCCCCGAAATCATGGCAAAGCATGGCCTTCAAAATACTTAGAAACCTTTAATCTGTTACAATATCAAACTGTTTGTAATTTGTTGAGTGAAACATTACATAATAAAAAGAATATTTCTGTGTCTTACCTTAATTGAGATAAATCATACCTTTCGTCTGATAATTTTTGACCAACATCTGTAAATGGCCATTGAATCAGTCAACTCCCAGAGTCTAGGACTTATTAAATCCACTATAGAGTGGCAAGTGACAATAGAACTACTGCTATAGTAATGATGGTGCTTTTCTATTGGCCTTATCTGTTTGGTTGTTAAAACTTATATGATGCCTTAACATACAGTAGGTTGTGAGATTACATTTGAAATTTATGTAAAAGGAAAACAGAACAGTTGTGAAACATGTCTGAGAATGATATAACTATTTGACTTTGTGATATTCTGAAGACAGGCACTTGTTAACTATTTCCTTTTTTATAGACTTTTACAATCTTTCCACATCTAATGAGATTTTTATTCTGGTAAACTCAATTGAAATAAACATTCTTTAATCAAATGTCACTTTTTTACATCTTAAGTATTTGCTCTTTATAAGACAAATGAATTTTCAGAATTGGCCAATTGATAGAAACATCTTATATTGACTTCAAACTTTCTTTGGGGCTGTACGATTTTAACCTATTATTACTCCATTGACTTTGATTTTGAACATACATATAACATTTTTTTTATATTGCTAGGATGATGACTCATTTTAGATCAAACAATTTTTACCAATCTTCAGTTCACAACTTGTCATATGCTAATATTTTTACTGGTATTGTAAAGAAGTATTATAAACTTTTTATGTGTATTTGATGCGCTGATAGCATCAAGCCAATGTTCATATTCGCTTTGAGGGATGTTTTGTCCATTGTATATTTGTTTATTCATAAAATGTTTGTAGATTAAGTAGATTTAATCAAATTTAACTTAGTTGCAATTACTAAGTGAGGAAGACAATTTTAATTTTCCTATTGTTAATTTTCGATTCATGTGTAGTAACTGTCACCAGCTCGTGGCGTCTATGTATAACAACTCATCTGCTATGCCAAGGATTGTTCGATTTTTGAAGACTTTCTAGCTATAGTTAGAATTTTGACTTTGAAATTGCTTAAGTATGGTTGCTTGACACATAGATTTTAAGATTCACCTAGGAAATTTTATGTTTGTTATAGAGAGCAAATGGACAAATTGGTTTCTTGCATCTTGGCTGATTTTGAAATTATTGTATCTCATGATGTTGACCTATATAGTCGTTGTGGGTGTCATGCACAAAGCAGAACATGCTTACTCTTTTCGAAAGATCTGATGGTACTTCTCGTTATAGGAGTCCAGTATTATACAACTATTTCTCTCAATTTTGTCATTCTTTGGACAAGATCATGATTTAAGGGATAGGTGCGCCATTTTTTGACCAATCATACCTTAGTATCAGAAACAGGCATTATGTAGTCAGGCCAATCAGTAATGGTATCAAAAATTGAGTCTTCAAATCCAAGTGTGTCCAGAATTATCCACGTTTGAATGTTAAAAAGACGAGTCGTCTGTTCTTGATAAAAGACATTTATAGAAATAGGAAAAGAAATTCCAAGTTTGAGATATTTTTGAAGGAATTATGCAATTTTTGTACAGTTCTAGTACTTCTGAAGACTATTTAAATATGTTGTGCAAGGTTCATCTTATTGCACACTGCATGGTGAAGTTAATCTTCATAACACATTACAGAGCAGAAAAGTATAAACTAATTAAACGCAGATTTCAATTCTTGAAATGAACTCTTACAAAGAGGAAGTCCAATTTATAAAGTTCTGGAAACGAATTTGTCATGTTGATATAGTAAAAATTTCTTAATTGGATTTTCTTACTTTTATTGCTTCTTTTTCTGTTTGAAACAGAAAGATAAATGTCATAATACATCTGGTTTCAACCAATAATCATGTTTATTGTCTCCTACAGGGAAAATTAAATGTTTTTATATTTATTCCAATTATCAAAACCTACAAACAGTTAATGTTGTGAAAACTAATTGACCAATACTTGAACATAAATAGGCAAAAATGTCAAAACAAGAAGTAAGACCAGTGTAATGAAGTTCATTTTCTTATAATATTTTTCCTGGACAGCGGGATTTTTAAATTTATCATAACATTTAGTTTTATCTCTGCTTCCTAGACAATGATAAAAATATTATTTTAAATATGCAATGTAACTCAGTGTAAAGTTTTTAACTTATGGATGATTGAAAAAATTCAGTTCTGACTATGAACATTGGTGATTGACAGAACTATTTGTCCATCAACCAGTGGCAGCACCAGTAGGAGTACCAGGGTGTTTGTACCACCATTTCTTTTCTAACAAAATTAGACATTTTAATATGATTTTCACCCAAAAGTAAGTGTCAGAATGTACCAAATCAATTTTATTTTCAAAAATGTTCATGGGAAGAACCCTTTAAGACACTTTATGGGAAGCTTGTGCCTATAGCGCTCTCATAGAGCTGCCAGATTTTGAATTGAACCTTGATAGTTGTCCCCCATTAAATCAGACTGGCCTCTATTTGTACCCCAAGTATCGGAAGGTTGGCACCGCCACTGCGATTAACTGTAATCAACCAATTTGATGACAAACTGATTGAGTATGATAAAAGAAAATTTACAATAAGAATTTGTCTATCAAAATTGAAGAGATTGGTAGACTACTAGACAAGTGAATTTTATCTACATTTTGTTTGGCTATCCAATCTATTTTCATGTCTGTTTATATCAACTCTTTAAGAGTCAACTAGCTGGAACTGCGGTCATAGCCTTATTGGCATTCCGACAAACTATAGGGTTTATTGTTTCATGAATTATTCTCTCTAAAGACAGAATCTAGTACTCAGACAGCATGTGACATAACTATTTACTACTGATTTTATTGAGAATTCTAATACATGACATAGTGTGGGTCACAAGAATTCTAGTATCACTGGCATAGAATTTGTTTACTTTCAAAAATCCATAGTTATTAGATTCTTGTCTGCCTATCATTTTGATTGTGGACTGTGGACTATGAAATGCTGTACATATACATGCTTATATGTTTGTCCTCAAGATTCATACAATATATGCCGGATTGCTGAAGTGCCATCTCGTGCCTTTCACCTCCGCAGTAGTCGTTGTTAATTATGTCTAGAAGACAATTTGACTCTTCAGATGTTTAAGTTTGTGCTCAAGTAGGAATTTCCTTGGAATTCTTTTTAAATGGGTAGTGTTTTGAAACATATTGATTTTCAGCATCATAATTTTTTAGTATATAATCTACAGCTGAGTCGACTTGAATTATGATGACTTATTCATACACCGATCGAGATTAGAACCCTCAAGCACCATTTGTTCCATGTTACCATGCAAATGACATCACGTAAAGAAAAATTAATGCTCTAATGCAGGCCTGTGCAGCGTTTCCGCAATGCCAGGCCACATTTGTGAAATGTGAGTAGGCTGTGGGCCACGTAATCAACAATCAATGAATCATGGGATTAACAATGAGAAACATGCAAGTCATATATTCAATAACGTATTTCAATGTGCATTACTAATTAACAAACATATTTGACGTAAAATCGTTAACGATTTAATTGGTTAGATTCATTTTGACGTCATCCTTTGATATAACAGTGCGGATATAATGGGTTTCGATACCAGATTAGGCGAGGCAAACTGCAGGCCATGCCAACCGTGACAAGAGCAAACGAAGTATTTGCTTGCGGGTCACCTTTCCCTCAAATTTTACATGGCACAGCGGGCCGCACGAAATCTTATCTCGAGGCGCAGTTGGCCCGTGGGTCGTAGGGGTTGCACAAGCCTGCTCTAATGGTTTGTTTTACAGTCAAATGTCATTTGTCAGTTGCGAGAATCACAGACAAGAAATGTGCACATGGAATTTAACCGTGTCTCTTAACAAAAGATTATTTGAAATGCAATAAAGATATATAGTCATCTAAATGTTTTCTAAATCATTTTTAGACACCTAGTGCTCCTGCAAAACTGAATTCCCTCCAGATTAAGGTGTTGTCAGAGCAGAATAAACATTCTTGCATTCAATAACTGAAAAAATGATAGAAGTCTAAATATGTGCAATTAAGGATGATTTTGTTAAATTCTAAAATAGACCAGATCTTAGACTAAATTGCTGAAAATTGTCAAAGATGGCTGATATTGAGATTTATCAACTGGTTAAGCAAATGTATAAAGAAATGGATATCTTTAATATAGGGGAAAATTTCAGGAAAATGATTTCTGTTTTTTCAGTTGCATCAGCTAGTCCTTTTTATAAACATCTTGGCAACGGATTCTTGGATTACCTGTACCTAATGGTATCAGGTTTAATGAGGGCAGATGCCTTTTATCAAGGTCACTTTAATTTTTTGTTACAAATCAAGATAAGTTAAGTACTTGCCAGTAGTTTTCTAAAAAAGAATAACAAATATGGTTTAGGGGTTAGAAAATTACCGGCACAATTTTTTTCGGTAGTATTTTCGAAGGGGAAAAAACTCAAAAATTATTTAACCATGTAGAGTGCGCACCCCTAATGTGTGTATCCCTTTGCAGGGTAAAAACCTGCGCATTATACATGGAAATATGCGGTAGTTACAACTTTCAGATAAGTTAATGGGACAGGTTCACCATCCATATGACCAATCGTACCTTAGTCTGGGAAACAGAATTTTTGTAGCTAAGCTAATCAGTTTTTTTGCCATATATAGAAATGACAGAGAAAGTGAAATTCCTAGTTAAAAGTAATTTTGAAAGAATTACACAATTTTTGTACATTTCTAGTATTTTATCAGTGTTCAACTTGAAAAAAGACATGTAATCTACATTTGAATATTGCTTTCTTTTATAAGACACTTTATATTTTACCAAATAATCCCTTAAAACATTAAGTATAATATGAGATTCATCTATTTCAAAAACAAAAGGTATTCTAAGAAATATGATTTCAATGAAATTGAAAATGATTAAAGCAAAGTATGCACATTTTGTAATATTAAAGAGCATGTATACATAGAACATACATGTCGCTATTCAGGCAGTTGGAATATTTTGACAGATGTCAGCTGGTTTAAGGTTAGAAAAAGAAAGCTGCAAAAAATGGGGATTTTCCACACCTTTGCAGGTGCAGGTTTTTTTTGGTTTTTTTTTTTTTTCGTCACCAGGGTTTGTTCATTATTGGACTTATTTGGTGTCATAACTATGCAACAGAATCTCTCTATAATCTAATAAATCTAAGATAAATTAAACTTAGCAATTTTGAAACAGGCTTAGAAGCGTTTTTCAATAATTATTTAGTTTAATAAATATATTATCTATTCTGTTGTCATGGCACTTGATCCAAGTTTGAGTCATTAAATTATATGTCCATTCTAAGAGGTAGTATTCCTTTAATTGCATATTCTTAGGAAATGTAAACACAGCTTTGGATATTCCTATAAATTTAATGACAACAAGCAGGAAATTGACACAAAAAATGGCAATAATTTTGTTTAGAAGCAGAACGATATTACAAAAGATTTGAGTAGTTTTGTTTCTTCTCGTAAATCTGTAGGGAAAAGTGTGTGATGATGATGCAGTAATAATAAAATATTTAATGGATATAGAGATGTTTTTTAGTTTTAATGCATAAATTTCTTCAAATACTTGACTTGATAATTTCAGTTCAAGCAGGAACTGTGAGTTAGTTTTATTGCCTGATTGATCATTTATCTAAAATGTTTGATAAAATTTGTATGTTTGTTAAGTACTGAAATAAGCAGAGGAGATAATTGTAAATATAAGGGATGTACATTTGGCTTGTTGAATTTTACGTATTATATGTAAAAATGTTGAATTCTAAATAGTTTTTTTATGAGTAAGACAGAAAAGAAAGAAAGAAGCAACTTTATTTTACAAAGATAACATCCTAGGTTCACAGTCAAGGATCCTGTTTACCAGCTGGTCCTTGGCCAAACCTCTTGGCATTGATCTTTCCCAGATTATCTATACCCACTTACAACTAGGTTTACTGGAAATATGAGAGAAGATAACTTTTCGAGTTCTTTGGACTTTCACATGTCAATCGATATCGAAACTCACAGCCACCTTTTACTTGACATTAACAAATGGAAGATCATACTCACTTTTCTTTCATTTCTTTTGATTTTTCTATTCATGAAATTGATTATTTAATCAAAAATAGAAGAAAAAAGGCATATCTAGACATAGTTTATTATCAGCTACAAGCACTCAAGCTTGTAAAATACAGTTGATTTTATGGTAAATTATAATGTGTCTGGCAAATTATTTTTACCCATGTCATTTCAAACTTAATAGTGGAAAATATGGGTATTTTTTTGTGTCAATAAGACTAGAAAATGACAGTTTGTGTAAAATGATTTGTATGACTGTTATCCTTTAAAATGTATCATTTTCCTAGTTTAAATGATATACATTATGGCATTTATTATGTAGTTTCTGATTTTCTGACATATTGTCATTTCTACTATTGTATGGTAAAGATGAATTAGTATGTTAAATTGAAACATATTATAATATATCATGCTATAACTATTGTATTCCTTTTGATCTCCCTACTGTGTCATTATGTTTCAAACTGATACATCCATGTTAGTCATGCAGGTCAGAGGAAAGAGCATCAAGTGGCTTGGATGAAACACAACTCGAAGGCTAGAAAAGAAAAATTAGAAAATATTTAATATCAGTTATTGCCCTTGTTCTGGAAAAAGTATTCAATATTGTGCTCCCAATCATTTGCTCCCAGGCAAAATTCTTGCTATACTTTGACAGTATTTGGTAATACTGTCAATTATCTTTAAAAAAAAGGTTGAAAGAAGTGTACAACTATAGTCTGAATGTTTCATACTGGTAATTGTTACTGTACTATCAAATATTTTAATTTTAAAGTCAAAGCTGCCAGTTGGCATATATTACCTTGCCCGGCAAGCTTTTTTTTTTCGAAAGGATGCCGCCCCTAGCGTCAAAGTGACACATTATTAAGAAATTGATAGACGAGCTGACACCATTTTATTTGAATTTATAAAGATATGAAATATTCATGAAAATAATTTGAAAATTTTGGCAAAAAAGATAGATTTAAGTGATAATATGAAATAATATTTGGGTAAAAATGAAATATAAATTCAAATCAGGTGAAATAATGAAACCAAACCTTTACTTACTCAATTCACATGATAAAAAGTTATATCCATAAATTCATAGAACCTTATTAATTCATATCCAATTGATCATAAAAAGTTCCCAAATGTATTGAGTTGATGGTCAATTCTTAGGAACATAACAGATATATTAATGTTTATGGAGATATTTAAATGGAAAGTTGTCTTATTTTATTAAAATGCAAATCTACTTGTTAGTGTTATGGTTTTATGCCTTTCCTGCACATACTAAAACGGTTCGCACAATGATTGCTTGTTCAATAAAGTCAGATGCAGATGTCAGATGCAGATGTCATATTTTGTCCCTTAGAAACAAAAAACATTATGTGTCAAGTTTTCATTAGCTGCACACGATGGACATTGCTCAAAAGATGCATTGTGTATGCTGATTTGTTAAGCTAGGTGCAGACGACAGATTTTGTCCCTTGAAAACGTGTTACATGTTCAAACTTTCAAAAGCAGTTTACAATGGACATGGTTCAAAAAAAACATTGTGTATGCCACATTCCTGTGTCACGTGACCACAAGGTTCAAATATAATTTTATATCACATGACGAGATATTATAAATGTTGATTGGTTGAGGACAGTAATGTTTCGTAAAAATGTTTTTATTTAACGCACACAGCAAACTTGAAATATTTGTTTCGGAAAGATGTGTTCCAAATTCAAACAAATTTTTCTTGAAACAAAAAACATGCTTTTTGCTTATCCCCACAACAGACTATTGTCACGAACAATGTTTCTCGGCGATAATTCAGTTGTGTACGTTGGGCTTTACATGCAAAGAAAAAGCTGAAACAAAACAAGGCCAGTTTTATTTAGAAATCTGAGAAATACAAATTACACTTTCATTAGAAAAATTGATCTTACAATTTTGATTTAAGAAACTGTAAACTTAGTAAACTCTAATGATTTCCTACATTTTATTTTACAATTTAATTTCAGAAACCTACTCAGAAGCTATAAAGATATTGAAAGGGGAATACACTATAAAGGCTATAGATGAACATAAAATGGACAAAGCGTTGTTATTTTGTAGAACTAAAATAGATTGTGATAATTTAGAGAACTATCTGAAACAGACAGGTGGATGTAAGTATATATTCTTTAAGATTTGATTCAGGCATCATTTTGCCTCAGACTAATTACAATTAGACCAAACTTTTCTTCTGATTTTTAATCAATTCTATTTTTTAATGTAGCCACTAGCCACTCTTGAAAATTCATCCAAATAACCTTTTGACCTAACCTGATGACCAGTCAATTTGGAACATCCAAGAAAAAGGCATGTCAATTTCAGTGGACTTGAACTATCAACAACTACCAACAACTACCAACAACTACCTAGTTTGTGATATCAGCGTCCGCTGGAAGCGAACGTTAACTTGTCATCTACCAACCAACCATCAGTAGACTTGATGAATTAGTTTTGTAATTCTGGGAATACACCTGTTTTCGCATCACAAAACCTCAGCACTGGAGAGAGGAAGAAATTAGATTGGCATTTAGAAATCTCCAGTCCTAGCTTTATTTTTTAAATTTCAAAGAATAAAAAGCAAAATAATTTTCAGATCCGAAAATATTAGGAAATAGACAAGACTCAAATGTTTACAGGCTACAGTAAAATTACAAAACGAATCTATGAAACAAAGTTTGAAATTTTCTAGCAATACTGAACGACGTCTGTGTAAATCTCATGATTGTAAAAGTAAGGCTACCGTTAAATATCATTATGATAGCGAAAGTAAAGTCTACCAGATGTTGTTATAAAAACTGTCATGTGTCACAGTCAGATTAAATTACACATTATCAGGTACAAATACCTCAAATTACCATCTAAATTAGGAGAGTAATTAGTCATTACCTGATGAGATTAACCCATGTTATTGGTAATCAAAATACAAGTAATGATTGCTATTTGTATATTGATTTATGGAAGAAAATTTGGACTATGAAAAGAGTTGGTCCCATGAAAATTTAGTTAGGAAACAAACCAAATATCGGTACAGGTTTGTCTGTAGGTCAGTATCATGCAAAAGGTCTAGAAACCTGACAACACCGGCAGATTACACATGTATGATATTGACATATAAGAAGTGCTAAGAAACGAGAATTGCATGACTCGCTTTGATTTATAAAAAAATAGAGACAAAAAATATCAGAAAATTATCCTATTTTAATAAGATAGTGCCATACAAGTTTCTATTGTGTAGGTGTATAGTCTGTTGCCAACTTTGGGATCCTAATATTCTAGACCTGTTCATTCATCTGGTTAAAGACCTTCTGCTAAAATTCATTCAATTTACACATTTAACCTAGGATACAGATTTGTATTTAAAATTTTCAATTTGTCTGGCTTATTTTTTTTATTTCTTTAAGTGTCTTAGATTCCAGAATAACTTCCTACCAATTTTAAGCCAGACTGGACAAACAAACGTAATCAAATAAATAGGCATGAACATCTTTAAATTATTAGCTTCAAGCTCTGTAGTTCCAAAGGTTGTTGAATTTCAACGAATTTTTTCTACTAGTTTGGCAATATCAAGCTATTACAAACTTTGTATGGTCTTGACTGCAAGTTTGTAAATGAAGCAATTTAATTGGATTGTACACTTGCGAATACAACCAATCAAAGGCTTCAAAGAAAATCTGTGAACACAAATCCATAATGTTTACAGTCTTTCTGTTGCTACCTAAATCTGCTCGATGACAATGATGTTTTGTTGATAAACTTATTATATTGTCCATATTTGGCTTCAAATTTGGTGTGCAAGGATTTATTCACAACATTTTAGACAATTTTGAATTTGAGTTCAGTCCTTGATATACTGAATCTACGTGAAACACAATCTAGGCTACAGTTGCTGACAGATTTTTGTCCAATTTGGGTTGAAGATTTATATGCTTAATATTATGTTGGATTTGTTAAAATATGAGCACCATTGGATAGATTTCTAAAAGAATAACATTCTTTGACTTAATGAAAATTTATTGAGAAAGTGGGCATATCTTGCGTGGCAACCACTTTTTAAAATTGCATGAAAGATCCAATGATGTAAATTTGAAAGGAAATGAGTGTGTTTGTATGTGTATTTAAACATAGTTCCTGCAGAGAGAAATTCTGTGAAGAAATTGATTTATTTTTAACAGAGTCCAGACTGTCTCAGATTTATACAAATAGTTGTGTGATGTTTCTCATTATTTTAAATTACCATTTTACAACCTTAACAACTAGCTGTCTCTTCAACACTGACAATGAAAAAACTATAATATAAAATATTTGTAAATTATGAGTAAATGGCCATTTTAGGATGATTCTTGATAACTTTTGAAAAGAAATTATCCACAAAATGTGGTCAATGCTTCTGTAGGAAATACATGTTCCTACACAACTTAGACATTAGGTTAATGTTAACCAGGTTGAAACAGACTATTGGCCCATGTGATTATTAAAGGTCATTATGAATTTAATGTCAAGGCCAGTAATCACTGTCATAGTTTCTGTTTTTATGATCAATCTTGGTGATGATATGACCGTTATACAGGTGCATGAGGTCAAGGTCAAATTATTACTTATTTTCTTTCAAGTTTTCCGTATTCCAGGATTTTGTTTTATTTAAGTCATTGTCAACAAAAGTCTGATGAGTATGTTTTAAGTATAGATATATTTTTTGATTCATATTTTTTAGCCAAATATTCCTGTGTGTGTCTCCATGGTGACCGAAAACCTCAAGAAAGAAAAGCAAATCTTCAAGCATTTAAGGTGAGGGTTTTAAATAATCGCATACACATATATTCCCAAATACAATAGAACTACTTGTGTCTGCAGACAAAATTATTGAAACAGTACAATATGTTAAGCACTATTTCTTAACTGGTACCATAATTCCAACTATTCACTTGTACTCTGACATTATGATTTAATTCAGGTAGCCTACTATGCTGAAATGTTTTTAAGAAGATGTAAAATTATAATTATGAGAAATATTAGTATCTCATAAGATTGATCCTAAAGTGATATTGCTTGATCAATTCATAAAAGTATTTGATAAGATATATTAATACGAGATAAACACAGATGTAATTAAGTTGTGTGTGTGGCGTTAATTGGACATTTGTGTAGTCGTAGTCTGTCAGATTGAACTGGTAGCTATTTTAATGTCAATATATCCAATAGATTTAAAGAGGCTGTCTATGCTAGTGGGCAGAAAAATTCATAGACTCGGAAGGAGTAAAAAAGAAAGACAGAAACAATTATATTTTAAAAGGACAACAACTTCACAATGTAGGATCCTTTCTGCCAGCTGCTCCTTGGTCAAATCTCCTGGCATTGATCTTTCCAAGATTATCCAAACCCATTTACAGCTAGGTTAACTGGAATTATGAGTGAAGATAACTTATTCAAGGTCGTTTTTTCACACAGTAAGTTTAATGTCATACCACAGCAATGAAACTGGGTATTCAATTTTTGTGACACTAAAGTCATTGTTTCTGTTCTGATATTCAATACGTTTTTTAGAAGAGACACTAGAGATGTTTTAACTAAGTAAAGTTTGTCTGGAATTATAGGCACCAAAATTAACCTTTTAAAGAAATAATCGACATTTGTTTGCAGGTACAGATGTACCAAAAGCTCATTAACTGACAAACATATTTTCTTAAAGTTAAGAGTTGATAATATAATTAGTTTTGTTTCAATATTAATCTCGTTATATTGAAAATCATAGACATTTTAACATGTCAATTATAGGCTAATCAGAAACCATACCATATGGTACTAAATTTTCTTTCTTATGTTCTTGCACAACATTGAAAAGAACCATTTTGTAATCCTTGTCTTAGCTTATATACTATTATATGTATCTAAACTGGAGTCAATGAGTTAATGGCATATTAAACATGTCTGTGTCAATTATTAGACCAATTTATACTTAAAAAGTGGTTTAAATATCCAAAATTTTAATTATTGAAGATGTAAATTATTAGTGAAAAGATTACTTATTAACCTGAATTTTTTATAAAGGGTGATTAAGAAAACGTTAGCTTATTGTTAAAGGGGCAGTCTGCTCTTTTTCAAATAATGCAAACAATTTTTGCTGAAATTTATGAAAACTTTACCACAAAATGTATATGCAGACATAGGCTATTTATAACATTTTTAAACCTTTAATGCTAAAATTTAATGGTTAAATTCAATTCAAGTGACTTCAATTAAAAACTTAGTGGCATTCATTTTTTATACGCCCACTTTATAATGTGGACGTATATTGTCGTCACCCATGTCCGTCAGTCCACAATTAGCTTGTGAACGCGATAGAGACTACAGTTTTCATCTGATGAAATGAAATTTAGTGTGATCATTTATACTGATGAGATCTTGGACAAGTTTGATGTTCACGATTTTTCGACGTACGGTTTTTGAGTTATTGCCCTTGATTTATGAAAAACGCATCAAAATTTGTTTGTGAACACAATAGAGAGTACAGTTTTCATCCTATTTAAATGAAATTTAGTATGATCATTTATAATGATGAGATCTTAGTCCAGATTGAATCTGACAATTTTTCGATCAACAGAATTGCCCTTGACTTAGTAAAAACTCATCAAAATTTGTTGGCGATAGAGGTGACAGTGCATCTTAGAATTTTATTAAATAATGTGTCTTTGTTTAAATTAACAATATCTTGCACAAATTAGATTTTTGGTATGATTTGACACAGATAGGTGACTGCCCTTGATATACTGAAAATGTATGCGGAAAGTGGGCGTATCTTGCAACCACTTGTTTCAATCTGTTATTATGGGTTAGAACATGAATAAATAAAATTCCACGAAAAAAAATAGAGTGAGCTGTCCTTAACTTTCTGGAAGGTCTAAGCTTTAAATATCAAAGCGATAAGTGACAGTCAAAAAAAAGTCTACACAAGTTAAGTAAGTAATCTGAATCCCTAGGCATGGTTACTGTACTGACAGGTATTTGATTTTGAAAAATGGATTCTGAATGGACCACCAATTGTTTACGAGCCAATCAGCAATAATTTCACATACATACCTCTGAAAATAAAGAGAGTTGCAGGTCCATGGTATGAATTACTCGGTCCAACAAAAATCAGATCATCGTATTTTTTTAACACAGAAATTCTCAAAGTTGATGTCTAAAATGGTTTGTCTATCACCAAGTCAACCTTTCAACCGTATACAAAGGACATACATATAATATCACACATAATAAGCCCAGTTGAAATTTAATCAGAATATTCTTTAAGATCATCAATTAGTTCATCAATAATTACATCTTTTACAGCAGTTTTATGCAACCTTGGGCATATTCAACTTTTCAAAGTTTTTTCAACAATATTATAGTTTGATTGAGTGCTTAGCATGATACTCTTACAGAGAGGATTTCTTTTGTT